TTTTTTTTGGGGGGGGGGGGGATTTGTGCTTTAAATAACTGAGCGCCATATCACGAGGAAATAAGATACCGGGCTATAATGTAGAAGTCAATATTTATTTACTTAGCCATGTATTTTCTTGCTTTTTTTCATGCTTTCTGGTCTCTGTCTTTAAATCTTTTTTGCTTTGCTAAGATGAAATGTTGCTTTAATAGTTCCTCCGTTTCGTCATCTATTCCTCTCTATTCATTCTCTTCTCTCTCTTCTGTCTCTATGCTGCTCTGCTGTTCGGCTCTCTGGACTCTCAGCCTAATCGAATTCTCTTAGTTACGATACATCACGTGCTATATCCTATAACTGTGGAAGTGCTGCATCAAGTGTTTTCACCTCATGGAATTGTTGAAAAGATCGTGACATTTCAGAAGTCGGCTGGTCAGCACCTTCAAGTTTTCTCTCTCTCTCTCTCTATATGTGTGTGTGTGTGTGTTCTAACTTCTTGTTTTGTTTTTCATTCCGGAGTTAAATACTGGATAGAATTTATGGAATTTGATCATGGAAGGAAGTCTCTGTCACTTCTTTGTTGTGTTATACGACTCTAATCTTGGATGTAACTCGTTTGCTTTTTGCTTCAACTGTTTCGTGGAGCATATGTGAAATCCTAGTTATGAGACTTGCATTCTTCTTTCCATATCTGCATAATCTTTTATTGCTACTGATATTTGCTATGAACTTTGTAGGTTTTCAAGCTTTGATTCAGTACCAATTACCCCAGAATGCTGTTTCTGCTAGGAACTCTCTCCAGGTATGCTTTGTGTTACATAAAGTTGTCTTGTCGTGAGAGGATTATTTTGTGCTGCTTTATTTATCTTAGATGGTGAAGCTTAGTGCTTACAATTTTTTAATAGGGGCGTAATATATATGATGGTTGTTGTCAGCTTGATGTACAATTCTCAAAGTAAGGTTTTAAATCCTTTTTAAATTGTGCTGCTTTTGTGTTTGCACGGACATAATTTGCATCTTTTCTCTTATATACTATGATATGATGGGTATGTTTACCATGGCTTATTTTGTGATTCAGCCTAGATGAATTGCAAGTGAACTACAATAATGAACGCTCGAGGTAACTTGTTCATTGCTTTCTCTCATTCCCTCTTATACATCTCGAAAATAGTTTCTATTCTTCAGTTTGTGGGGAAAATATTCATGTACTGCATTATCTATATGTGCAGGGACTTCACCAACCCAAATCTACCATCAGAACAGAAGGGCAAATCTCCTCAAGTAGTTTCCATTGTTTATTTTTCTTACTTTTAGCAGGAATAAGAGTTTTCCAATATGGATTATGTTCAAGCTTTGTCATTGTGTAACAACAGGGATATGGAGATGCAGGAGGCATGTACTCCTTGCAAGGTTCCGGGCCTCGTGGAGGTGCTTAAGTTAACACTATTTTATTATGTTTATTGTGAAATTTTCTGATCTAGATATTCCTAACTGTTTTCTCCCTTTGTTTTTGTCCAGTTGGATTTCCTCAGGTGTGCATCTCACTCATCAAGTTTGAAGTATTTTAACATCTCTTGGTTATCTGCCTCTCTGCTGTCAGATCAGGCAGTTGAGTGTGACATAGATGCTTTCTGTCTCTGCGTTTGTTTTTCTTGCCACTACATCATCTCTGTTTTTGCTATCAGTATTAGCTACTAAATGCAGTAGATTAGGATATTTGTATCTTTATTTTATCTTCAATTTTATTTTACATGGAAATTTTGAATGATCAATGCTGGTGAAGCTGTAGTTGCTGCTTCGCATGCTACATTAGCCACATCTTTTCTCGATGCTGTCTTGCTCGCTTTCTCGTGTTTATGCCATATCGTTCTAAGTTGGTTTTTGCAATTATTGGAGTAGATGGGAAATGCTGCAGCAATTGCAGCTGCCTTTCCTGGTGGTTTGCCTCCTGGCATAAGCGGGACAAATGACAGGTGTACTGTTATTGTATCTAATTTAAATCCAGATGTAAGATTCTCTCTTTTATTATTACCATGTTAGCCCTTTTATTTTCTCTTTTTATTCTTTTTCTGTTTTAATTAAATCCTAAGGTTTGTGGCTCCTCATCTTGATGTTTCTCTTCTGGTTGCTTTTCCCTATTACAGAGAATAGACGAGGACAAGCTTTTTAATCTGTTCTCCATTTATGGAAACATCATCAGAATTAAGCTCCTACGGAATAAACCAGATCATGCTCTGGTTCAGATGGGTGATGGTTTCCAGGCAGAGCTAGTTGTGCACTTTTTGAAGGTCTGAATGGTGATATCTGTATTTCCTTTTTTTTTTCTTTTCCTTTTTTGGATTTTTGTTTGTTCTGCCTCATTGTGGTGTCAGCAACCTTGCTGCTGCCACATAACCTTTACACACAATTTTAAAATGGAAATAAGATACTAAAATATAATTCAAGTATAAACTTAGCACCAAGCTGCTGCAGCATAAGCTTTGCTCAGAGTTTTAAAATGGAAACAAGATAAAATCTTATGTCAAATTAGTGTAGAAGACTGGTTTCTCTTAACTAAGTAAACCCATCATGCTGAGCATGTTTCTACCTATCCAAAAAAAAGAAAGAAAATAGATGACTGGTTGCTCTTTGTTACTCGTGTTTCTCAATTTTTGTATATGGGGATGTTCCAGATCAATAAAAAATTTATTTACTTCAGTTGGTTGCCCTTTGTATGTCATGTTCATCTACTTTTTGTTTATAGGGATGTTCCTCATCTGATCAATAAAATTATTTACTTCATCAATCAAACATGACATTTGATGACTCCAAAGAAAAAATAACTACCAATACAACTATACTTTTAAACCATGCATCTGATTACTAGATACTACCTCGTTTCTTATCAGATAAAATTTATAGTTTCTTAACAACCTGCAGTCCTTTTTTTCCTTGCTTGACTTTTAAAGCGTGATATCCCTTGTATTCCCACCGGTGGCAGAGCTAGGATTTCACCGGAGGGGGTCAAAATATAAAGAAGTAAACCCATGAAAAAGTCAAGGGTAGTCAATGTATAGTATACACATTAAAAAAAACCTAGATACACAGTGTAATTTTCCGACCCCTTGAATACATATGGCTCGGCTTCCCACTAAGCATAGATTCTGAATTTCAGTGAGTTCGGATGGCATGAGTTTACACCCAGTAAAAGATGGTTAGTAGATTTATAGTAGTTGAGCAAGTTTGTTCTGTGCTTATTTTCAAATGCCTCTGATATTTAGATCTTTCAACATATGATCTATTAATGCAGCAAGTTTACCTTGTACCAAAGTCCATGCATATCTTTTGCTTCATTCAAGCATCTATCTATTTGCATCGTTGTTAATTTCTTATGGGATTTTGATATAGGGTGCCCTGTTATTTGGTACGCGGTTGGAAGTCAACTATTCAAAGCACCCAAATATTATCACTGGACCAGATACACATGACTACTCAAACTCAAATCTCAATCGTTTTAACCGGAATGCTGCCAAAAACTACCGGTACTGTTGCTCCCCTACCAAAATGATCCACCTGTCAAGCCTGCCCCAGGACGTGACGGAGGAAGAGATCGTGGCCCACATGGAGGAGCATGGTACCATTGTCGGTACAAAGCTTTTTGAAATGAATGGGAAGAAGCAGGCTCTTGTTCTTTTTGAAAATGAGGAGCAAGCAACTGAGGCATTGGTGTGCAAACATGCTACATCGCTTGGCGGCTCGATCATTCGGATTTCCTTTTCTCAGTTACAAAACATCTGAGATGCCTTCCTTGATGCAAATATTAAAGAATACTATGGTATTGTAGATTCAATATTGACAATTGAACAATGGCTTTAACTGTGGTTATAACTTGAGTTTCTTCTAATATTCTTCCTTTCCTCATCCATTATTGTAGTTCTCTTTTCTTTGAGCTCAGGGTATATTGGGGAGATTGAAGAGTTTTGTACTAATAGGGTAGTCAAAATTCTGTAATAGAGGTGTTTTCTTCCTTCATTGCATATCACTTGCTGTCCATCTTCCATTCTTCTTCTATTTCTGATTAACTGAATTTTTCCTTTTTTCTTCCTATTCATCTTCCTCTATTGCTGAGTTCTTCTATTTTTGGTTTTGTGTGTGTGTGTGTGTATGTGTGATTAAACATTTGCCTGGGCTCTGTTGGATCATTTGAGTACAATTATCTTGAAGGTACGTTTGTTGCACATAATTTTCCTTCAGTATAATTTACATGTCTTCACATTATAGGTTATGTCATTCTACTTATTCCTTACCAATAATAATAAAAAAACCTCTACTAGTCGAGTCTCTCTCTACATTTTACATTTACATGGAAATTGTCTCTTAAGGCTATTTAACATCTGGATCAAAGGCGAGGGTTGCAAGTAAGAGACAGACCCCATTTCCTGACATATTGTTGGTTGCTCTTTGGGCAAGAGCTCAAAGAATTCTGCAAGAGCTCAAAGAATTCTATTAGCTCGGAATGTTTAAGTAATTCTAGTCTAAAGTAGTGAGTTTAGTTGATCTATTAGCTCGGAATGTTTAAGTAATTTTAGTCAAAAGTAGTGAGTTCAGTTGATTTGGTTCAACGTGCTCTATTCGATCCGATGACATTCCATGCATTAAGTATTAAAGTTTCTAAAATTTGGGGTCAAGAATCAAGCTTTAGATGCATGTCTAAACTCTAGTGTAATGTAGAAAGTAATTCATTTGAAGATTCTTGGGTTTGACAAGAAAAGTCGAATGTGCATTTGAATATTGTGTAGTCGTCCACCTCTTTAGAAAAAAGGGTTTAACTTTGACAAGCATTCGACGTGGTCTACACGGATTTGTTAAATAATTGCAAAGAAATTCAGAATAGGAGCTAAAGGAAAAAAATTTGTGATAATATTTGATTGAGCATGAAGTTTAAAATAAAAAGAAAAACTTTTAAAATTTTTTGTGACTATAACTGTAAGAGTAAAATAAAATTTTTAGAATTAAATTATTATTAAATATATAAATGTATCATTATTTTTTCAACTGATTACAAAACAAAGTGAGATAAATTGGAATAAGGGAGTAATATTTATTTGTTAGATCAACTTCATTTTATTTAGACCGTTTCGTTTCAATTTGACAAGCTTTAAATTTACGCCGATCTGGCAGTGTCACTCCCAACTATAATAACTACCAGGTAATCCCTAGGGTTTTTCAAAGCCAAACAAATCCCACATTTCCAAAATGTCATTTGATTCAACGCCGCCGGCGGTGGAGAAGCTCACCCTAAACGCCGCCACCGTAGACGAAGCCAAATTCTCCCAACGCGTCCCGATCCGTTCAATCGTCGGCCGTCCCGACGGCGGAGCTGGACTCGCCGGAAATGTGGTCAAAATCGGCGGCTGGGTAAAAACAGGCCGAGAACAAGGCAAAGGTTCATTCGCGTTCCTTGAAGTGAACGACGGCTCTTGCCCGGCGAATCTCCAAGTAATCGTCGATGCTTCAGTTCACAAGCTCGGTGATTTGGTACTTACTGGTACTTGCGTACACGTGGAAGGTGAATTGAAGGTACCTCCTGAAGGCGCGAAGCAAAAAGTTGAACTTCGTGTCCAGAAGGTTTTATCTGTCGGTACTGTTGATGCTGCCAAGTATCCATTGCCGAAAACTAAGTTAACGCTTGAGTTTTTAAGGGATTTTGTTCATCTTCGCCCCCGAACTAACACGGTATTTAGCTAATCTCATTTTTATATTTGCTCCACTCTTGATGTCCAATAATTTATTTAACAGGCGGATTATCGATTTCTACGGATTCAGAGTTAGTGGACTCGGAGTATATTTGTTTATTTAATGAGTTTAATTTGTATAAATAAGAAAAAATTTATACTATCAGGTTATCCGGAACATATCTACAGGTATCCTCTATAAAAAGTGGAATTTGTAATTTGAAATAAGATAGATTATGTACTAAAACAGGTAAATGTGACATGATAGTGTAAAAATAATTATCGGCCTAGGTGGATATTAGTTAAACTCTTATTTAATTACTTTGTTTATATATGAATATGGTGGTATGTGACAAGCATTGTACTTCCACTATTCCACTCCAATACATGGATAACTCTGTCTATAAGGTTAGACATATGGAAAGAAATAACCTAGTTTTTAGGTGGATTCTTCTCCCTTGGTTTTCACTCTAATTGTTAGGCCACAACCTTGGATGCAATTCATTTCACATAAGAAGTGGTTTTGGTAGAACGTTCATGTCCTTCTTGGGTTTAGCACATGAACTTTTCCATTAAAACTGCCCCTTCCAAAATTTATCTCCAAGTGATGTAGATTGTGGACCGTTCTCATTTTGCCAAAATTTTTGTTCAAACTTTGATTTTGCACTGTCAAAAATTTTCCATTCCACCAGTATCTTTTTGCTGACGGCACCGAATGGTGGATTATTTAGAGTATGTATGTAAATATATTTGATTGTAATCCAGCATTTTTCATTTTCAGATTTCTGCCATTGCAAGAATCCGTAATGCCTTAGCTTATGCCACCCATACATTCTTCCAGAAGAATGGGTTTCTTTATATCCACACTCCAATCGTCACAACAAGTGATTGTGAGGGTGCTGGTGAGATGTTCCAAGTTACTACTTTGATAAACGAAGCTGAAAAATTGGAGAAGGAGCTGAAAGAGAATCCTGCTCCTTCAGAATTTGAGATTAAAGCTGCTGAGCAACTTGTCAAAGGGAAAGGTGAGGCAGTTGCTCAGTTAAAAGCTAATAAGGCAAGCATTGAGAAAAGTGGTGGCAGTATTGTGGACATCAACAAGCAAATCAGTGCTGCAGTTGCTGAGCTGCAAAGAGCTAAAGAGAATCTACTGAAGTTGCAAGAGAGATTTAAACTGGGAGAAAGGTGTAGACTCTCTGCTGGTATTCCCAAAAAGGATGGAAAGGTTGATTACTCTGAGGATTTCTTTGCACGGCAAGCTTTCTTGACTGTGTCTGGCCAACTCCAAGTTGAAACCTATGCCTGTGCGCTTTCTAGTGTGTATACTTTTGGACCAACTTTTCGAGCCGAACAGTCCCACACTTCTCGGCATCTTGCGGAGTTCTGGATGGTGGAGCCTGAAATAGCTTTTGCAGATCTCCAGGTATTCATGTAGTTATAGCATCATGATGTTATATATATATTTCTGGAGCAAAATGTTTGGACAGTTAATATTTAGCTACCAGAAGTTTCACTGAGACATGGAATTGATTTAAACTCTTGGTACCGGCCATTCTTGTTCATAGTGGTTGAGAGAGTCCTCTTCATGCCACTAGGTCAAGAGTTCGAGGCTGGTAGGCTGCCTTGACAAACATAGATTTAAACTCTTGGTCTCTTACATGATTAAATTTTGAGTTCAATGTTAAATATGAGCTATACATGTATGGCAATGAAGCAGAGGTTATGTCAGATACTACGTGTAACACTCTCATAGAGTTTCTGAAGGGGTTCTTTTGGCCGGAATTAGTTTTTTCTTTCAATTAATCAAAATTTGTATTCCTTTGGCAGGATGATATGAATTGTGCTGAGGCATATGTGAAGTTTCTGTGTCAGTGGTTACTTGACCATTGCCTTGATGACATGGAATTTATAACTAAATTTATAGATAAAGATGCTCTGAGTAGACTTAGAATGGTTGCCTCATCAAACTGTTACCGAATAACTTATACAGAAGCCATAGCCATTCTCGAGGTAGCAGCCAAAGTGAAGAAATTTGAAAATAAAGTAGAATGGGGTATTGACTTAGCATCTGAACATGAAAGGTACTCTTTGTCCGCTGTCTACTTATTGGATCTGCTTTATGTATTCCTATAGCTATTCTGATCCATGATTTGCCTTGATAATAGATATTTGACCGAAGAGCATTTTAAGGCACCTGTTATTGTGTTCAACTACCCAAAAGGGATTAAAGCATTTTACATGAAGGTGAATGCAGACAAGAAGACAGTTGCTGCCATGGATCTGCTTGTTCCTAAGGTAGGCTTGTTGAATCAGCTGGCCTGTTGGAAGAAATACCTTTTTCCTTTTTACTCTTATAATATAGGTTCCCTGCACCATCCACCCACTGGCAGGTTGCATTTCCAAAACGTCTAGATGAATGATGCTTTGATTTATTTTGATGGCAAGTAGCTCAACTTATTGCTGCTAATGCGTATAACTCCTATTTAAAAAATCAGTAAGCTGAATATCTGTTTGAAATGGCATGGGATCTATTTAAGGTGTTTGTCCATGGAAATTTTTTGAAACCTTTCGAATAGCTTTTCCAGTGTTTGTTNCCCCCCCCCACACACACACACACACACAAAAATCTAATCCTTTTTGTTTCTCAAACCTTTTTCTAATAATTTTCGGAAAAATCCTTTTCCTAATGTTATCCAAATGGTATGGAGTTGCTATTTCTTGATTTCACTAGAATGTTGTACGTGAAGAAATGTAAATTTTTTGGTGCTAAACTGAATCAAGCACTGTTGCCCAACGGAATGAAGCCATGTTTTAGATATAGGGAAAAAGATTGTCTGTCTGACCAGGCTGCATGCCTTAAGCTTTACATGAGAGTTAGTTGGAGCCAAAAGATCAGCTCTGTTTTTTAATAAAAAGAAACAGATACGCTTTACCTGCAGTGGGGCCCTTACAGGCTCCCCCCCGGGGGG